ATGGAGCACCTGTTTTTTCTTTTTTCTTTTTTTTTTTTTTTTTTGCGGGGGGGGGGGTGCACCATGCTTTCCAGATATTTCAGTGGCATCAATTTCAAATATCCTAACTTACCTAATTCACTGATACACTCTTTGGATTGTAACACTTTGCATTTTTACCACATCTTCCAATTTGCTGCTCATGCCTGGATAATACACCTCCCTTCTCCCTATTAAAAAGAATACTTGTATTTTGATAGAGAAAATAACATCACTATACAGATGTTCTCTTTTATTGACTGGTTGATTAATGTCCCTTATACTATACAGATATCAAAATCCTGGTAGCTTTCTGAACTACTGCCTGCCAACATCAGTGTTCTACTTACTGCAAAAATGCCCGAGCATCCCAGTGAAAGCTATTCAACACTTCTTGCCTCTTCCTAATGTCTGAAGGTACCATCATGAGCACCGGATGGTCTTGGAAAGAACACTGTTAGCAGCAGTGCTAACTCACTCCTCAAGCGCCCACATGTTGACCATCACAGCCAAGCACACAGTTGATGAGTATGAAGGACCTTTGTGTATTCAGACCTTCATGGCAACCTTCTCCTGGTGCACCTTGCACACACTCTTAGCGACCAGCTTCTTTTCATGGCACACACACTCCGAGTGACTCAACCTCTGTATACACAAGATGCTGTTTGTGTCTACACCACGGACAGCTAAGCATTGTTACTGCTGTCCAACCTATGGCACTGCGAGTGACCCCGCTCCTCCGTGTGCTCCACAGCGGCTGACCACTCCAGACACCACAAATGATGTGTTCTTGCCTACGCCACAGACGCTTCGCATAATGTGACCACAAAAGCTCACACAAAACGTATTCTGGGCAGTGATCCACTTTAGGGACCCTTGAATGTATTTGGAATTACTATATTCTTTTGATGAGTGAGAGCCGTTCCCATTCTCCCCCAACGTGTCCCTTCTCCTTGGAACCATAACACACATTTTCCCACCACAGCTTCATTTGGGAGTGATCTCTCATCTTCCTCCCCCCCACTACTCTTCAGGGACCGTTTCATGGTTGTATAGTTAGGTCCACAGATTGATTTAGAAATGATACTTTGTGTTACGGCTTAGGCCACAGAGCATCTTCACAGGCCAGGTGTTGGCCAATAAAGGATGTCTTGGAAAGAGATGGTAAGGCGAGCAGATTAGCTAGCTGGCAGAGGTGAGAGTTTAAACAGGCAAAGCTTGATCCACAGAAGGAGCACAAGAGGGAGAAAGCTTGAAAGGAAAGCCATGGCTCTCTCTTGCCTGACACACCCTTCCCCCTCAACTGACTGGAGTCCTGGCCAGAGTTCACGCTGAGGTAGAGGGCAAATCCGTCTGGGCAATCCAAGATCCGGGAAGGGGAGACATCCTGCGGCATCAGGAAGAGCTCCCTCAGGACAGTCTTGCTGGAAGGCAACCTTCAGGGATGCTCAGAACCGGATCTCAGAACTGCCACCGCAGCCTCTGAGTCTCATGAGCCCCCTTCTCATTTCTGAGCACTCCACGTGGGGATGACCATTCAGCTTTGGGATGTTCCCCTTACACAGCCAAACGGGGTGGAGGGCAAGGCAGGGGTCGCTGCCTGAAAAGCTTCAAGAATCATGGCTAACAGGAGAGGGAGGGGTGTACGTAGACAAATGTTTATGAACACAAATGGAGGGAAGCCCTGGCCTAGGTAAGGAAAGGGAGACAGGAAAGCTACCTGAATGAAGAGTTGAGCAAGGCAGTATCAGTTATCATAGGGCCAACTTTTCCCCAGGACCCAGACCTTGGAGCAAGAGCTCTCCGATTATTGGTCCCGGGAATTCGCACCGGGCAGGGTGCCCATTTCCAAAAGCAGGGAACGGTCACTCGAACGAAAGCAAAAGTTCCTGGCCAGAGCGTTTCGTCCAGGTCCCTTCCTCCTCCTGACCAGGGCCCACAACCCTGTTCCCAGAGTTCTGCCGGTGGCCCAGCCCCTCATTTCCGGAGTCTGCGCCCAGAGACTCCACAGGGGCTGGTCCCTGGGGAAGGCCTAGTTTCCTCTTCCTTCCTGTCCCAGCCTTACCTCCGCCCGTCTCTGCGGACCTCCCGGAGCCGAGAACCGAGAACGGAAGAGGGCACCCACCTGACCGGTGTCGCATGCTGCCTCGGCCCAAAGTCCCCTCCAGGTCCCGGGCGCCGCCGCACTGTCCCCCCGCGCGCAGGCCCGGCCGCCCCAGCCGCGGCCCGCCCGAGCCGCCCGGACGGAGGGAGGGATCGGGCTCTCCCAAGGAAGTTTCAGGTGAGGAAACAGGGACACACCTTCCCGGGGGAGGGGCAGGGTCCCCGGGTGCCGGAGCCTCATTGGTTGCAAAGGAAGCTCCCGCGTCAGAGCTGGGGAAGTGCCCGGCCCGTCTGGGAGGAGAAGCTGGGGCGCACCGGGCAGGCCTTCGCTGTCCCAACGGGAGCCCGAGGGTGACTGGCGGTGCGGGGGACGTGCTGGCCAGGGTGATCCCAGAGCTTGGGGCCAGCAGAGGAGGGAGGTGGGACTCTCCCGTGTCCCGTGGGCCACGGAAACAGCCTATGTCTGTTTTTTTGTTTTTTTTTTTTCTTTTTACCTGCGCAGATTCTGGACCAGGCTGAGCCTCTGCCCTCTCTGCCTGCTTCCTTTGGCTCGCCCTCTGCCCTTGGCTTCTCTTTCTTGATGTCCACGTATTTTTACTGGGAGAGTGACAGTCTTTAGTATATTCTAGCTACCATGGGATCCGTGGGGGAAAGTCGGGAGCAGGGCCCACAGCAGGCCCAGCATGCATCAACAATTCCTGCAAGGAAAGCTGCAGATCAGAAAGTTTGAACTAGGGCTGTGGCGTTCCTAGCCCGGGAAAGAACACAGTGTAGGCTGTGAGGACAGCAGCAAGTTCAGACACCTGACTCTCCGATGGGGGTTGCTGCTCTGTGGATGTCCTCCATGCTGCCTGTTGGGAGTGGGCAGCAGGGCCAGGCGGGCAGCGGGTGCTTCCCAAACCACATGGCTCTTTGTCCCTCAGCACTTCAACTGCACGGACTTCCCTTGATGGTGGCACCTCTCCCTCTGCTCTCACTCAAACTCTTGCCTCATGAACTTGACTGCTATTTTCTCCGCCAACTTTTACCCATCAGCATTTCTGTTCTTCAAGTCCCCACCACTGATGAAGTAAATCTGGGCTCTTTTGCAGAGAATTAAGCAGCATGCAAGATTTAGAAAATAAATTTATTAGTACTATTAGTATTTTATTATTATTATTTTTAAAGATTTATTTCTTTTCATTGGAAAGTGAGATATGCAGACAGGAGGAGAGACAGAGAGGAAGATCTTCTGTCCGATGGTTCACTCCCCAAGTAGCCACAATGGCCAGAGCTGAGCCAATCCAAAGCCAGGAGCCTGAAGCCTCATCTGGGTATCCCACATGGCTGTGGGGTCCCAAGGCTTTGGGCTGTCCTCTGTTGCTTTCCCAGGCCACAAGCAGGGAGCTAGATGGGAAGTGGGACTGCCAGGACACAAACTGGTGCCCACATGGGATTCTGGTGTGTGCAAGGCTAGGCTAGTCGTAAGGCTACTGCAACAGGCTCTACCTATTTATTACTTTAAAGCTTCATTTATTTTTTGGGGGAAGGAAGATTTACAGAGAGCAGGAGAGACCAAAAGATCTTCCATCTGCTGGTTCTTCCCCAAGCAGTCAAGATGGCCAGAGCTGAGTCACAATGGTCAAAACCAGGAGTCAGGAGCTTCTCTCAGGTTTCCCACATGGGTGTAAGGCCGTCTTCTACTGCCTTCCAATGCCACAAGCAAGGAGCTGGATGGGAAGTGGGGCAGCCAGGACATGAACTGGTGTCCACATAGGATCCTGGCACATACAAAGTGAGGCTTCAACCACTTGGGTATTGCGCTGGGCCCAAGCACGTGAGATTTAAGCTGGCTTTTCTACTAGTGTTGAAATGTTGGAAAGTGCAGTCTGATCACTTGGGGAGTGTGCTGTTAGTTTCTCCCTGTCTGCAGGCTGTGTTTGTATACGGGGACCAACTTGCTTCTCCCGAGCCTTCTTCCCGTCACTAGACAGATTATGTGTAGATCTCCTTATTTTGTTTATTGATTTTTTTAAATTGTCACTCCTTGGTGCTTACTCTGGGGGCCTGAGCTTCTTAGGAGATTTTATTTGGACTTAATATGGGCCTAGGGAGTAGGGAGAGGGCTACAGGGGGAAGATGATGGAACTGAGATTCAGACAAATGTAGGTGTGAAAGCTCTCACCACTGAGTTTAAATCACATCTTGGCCACATTTGCCTTCTCTCAAATTGATGCTTTATTTTTCTAATGTCTGAAATGGAGATACCAATATTTAATAATATTCACCCTGTGGATTGCAATGGTGATTAAATTAAGTGACATAAGGAAATTTCCTTCATAGGAGTGTGTGATGTACAAAGGTGTTAGACATACTCCATTGCCAGGCAGTTACGCCTATCGTGTGAGTACACTTCCCACGACAAGAGGATGAGATTAGAAAGTATAAACAGATGAAGGATTAGGTTATTTTAAAATGAGAGCTGAATTAGGAGAGGATAGGAACAGTCTCTAGAAGTTAAGACACCTTTAATTGGAGTCAAGGCACTGCCTTTGAATTCTGGTTCGGGTTGGGTGGAAGATCAAAGCACTGCCCTGTGTGGCTCCAGGTCCCAGGGGCTCCCCGGTGCTGACAGTGGGCTGCCACTGTCCTGACTAGGTGTGGCTATGGCCCCATCATACCATGGGATTGGATGCCTGTTGTTAACCAGCTGTTCCCACGACAGTTCTTGAACTAGTGCCTGTATATTGCTGATCTGCCTTTTGTTGATCCCCAACCATCTCTGAACTATTTCGAACTGATTTTGAGATGAATCTTTTTTTTTAAAGATTTATTTTATTTTTATTGGAAAGGCGGATATACAGAGAGGAGAGACAGAGAGGAAGATCTTCTGTCCGATGATTCACTCCCCAAGTGAGCGCAACGGGCCGATACTATGCCTATCCGAAGCCAGGAGACTCCTCCGGGTCCCCCCCGCGGGTGCAGGTTCCCAAAACTTTGGGCCGTCCTCGACTGCTTTCCCAGGCCACAGGCAGGGAGCTGGAAGGGAAGCGGGGCTGCCGGGATTAGAACCGGCACCCATATGGGATCCTGGGCATGCAAGGCGAGAACCTTAACTACTGCACCACCGAGCCGGGCCTGAGATGAATCTTTTTATTTATTTTAAATACCTGACTGTTCTTACTCCCTATGTCTTTTTGCAATTCCGCCCTCACTTAGCCATGATGGTTCTTGGCCCTCCTATTCCATTCTGGTGAACATGCTTTTCTTTTCTCTTCAATTTCTCTATTTGTTTTCTCCACTTTCAGACATTAGCACAATCCTCATTTCAGTGCTGAATGTTCAAGGCACAGTATTATTATTGCATCATCCATTTTTTCCCCTTAGTGACTATGATTTTTAGCCTCTGCTCCTAAGAAGAAGTCTATTATAAGAGAGAAACAAGGAATAAGTAAATGATAGTGTACCGCTTAAGGTGCTGTGTGCAACACTGTATCCTGTGTTGGAGTGCCTGGGTTTGGGTCTGAACTTGCCCACTGATTCGAACCTCTTGGTTATGCACACCTGGAAAGGTAACAGTACATCAACCCTGTGGCTCCTGTGGGAGACCTGATTTCCTGGTCTGACTTCAGCTTGGTTCATCTCTGGAAGTTACAGGCACTTGGGTGAGTGGATCCACAGATGAAAGTGGTCTCTTCATATTTCCCTCAACTAAAATGAAAATAAATGAAAGCAGTGGAGCAGTGTGGTCAGATGTATATTGAGATTAACACAGAGAGAAGCAGCAAGCAGAAAGGAAAGATGATGGGTATTGCGAGGAAATCAAAGGAGGCTCAATGGCAAGGTGCCTTTTGAGTTGCTTGTCTTTAAAACGTACTCTGTTACTTGGGTGGAACAGAGAAGCAGAAAGTAATATCAACAATGGAAATAGAATATGGAATACTAGAAGCCTGGCCAATGCTGTTCATACAGTGCAGAAAGTTTGGGCATGAGGGATGGTGAAAAATAGCAGAGGACAAATTGGCCTGGTGTCACGCAGAGAAATAGTGGAAGATTTCATAGTCACGAAGGCTACTGAGTTTGTGCACTGTCCCTCTGAAGATGGGCCAGAGAGTTTAAGCAAGGTTATGATGTGACCAGGTTAGGTTAGAAAACAAGACAAAACAGTACAATAACTGTCTTGTCGAGAGTCGAGAATGAACTGAAATAGGGAGTGAGGTGGAGATGAAGAGTAGCCAGTGAGAGATATGTTGTTTCTGGTCTTGGATTCACACTTCCCGACTTGATGCTTCCCCTTTTCAGTGGGTGGACTTTGTTTTCAAGTCGTAGAATCTAGCATGCTGAAGTGTGTTAAATTGTGAATCATTGATAGAGTGTGCAAAGTATCACAAAATGTATTGGTAGGACTCCTGCATGTGTGTCCCCATTATTTGCTTTAAAAATTTGTATTAGATCATTGTTAAGTACATCCAAGCTAAGATTTATGAGGTTCCAGTTTGCATAGAGAGATGCAGGAGGTACAGAGGATCAAAGTGTTTGCTTTCAGAGTGTTAGGGATGCCAGAAAGGAGACTTGCGTGCTAGGCCACTGGGCATGAGGATGGAAGGATATTGCAAACAACAACTTTAAGGCCCAAAAGGGGTAAAGCGGGACAAGCAGACAGGCAGCAGGGGGGAGCACTGTGCTCCTGCAGATCATGCCTTTGTGAAGCGGTTTCTGAAGTCAGCAGTGTGGAAGCAGTCTTTCATTTGGAGTCTGTGCTCGGCCCCTGCAGGCAACGTGCAGGCGTAGATAAAGCAGAGGTGCACTACTGCGCAGCATCTGTTTGGGGACTGCATCTCTTGACATTCTTAGAGCTGGACAGAGGGGCTGTGTTAGAGTGGGCAAAGATCACTGCAAGTCCCAGGGTTAAGTCTTTTAACCTATGCATTTTAATAGTCCATTTAACTTCTTTCAGAGGAGATAAGCCTAAGCTGAGAATCTATTACAGTGTAATAAATATTTATTCATGTTCTCAAGCGGATAAGCATTTTAAAGTATCAGATTAACAAAGATCGAATTAGTCGGTGTTCTCCCTTGTGAATGTGGAGGGTGTTGGGCAGACAGGATCCACAAGGGAGAAAGAGAAGGGATATAATTGCCTTTCAAGGAGAACATCCCTAAATTAAAGGGAAAAAAATGAAGGAAGGAAGGATGGAAGGAACAAAGGGAGGAAAGAAGGAAGGAAGAAAAGTAGGGGAAAGAGGGAGGAAGAGGGTGAGGGAGGGCAGACTAGCTAGCTTCTTAGAATGGTACCTATGAAGTACATGAAATCTATTCTGTTCCTATTAATAAAACTTTTTAAAAAGCTCACTCCTTCCCTAGCCCTCTGGACTCATGAACCGTTGACTCTGATGTAAAGGAACACGTGTGAAATGGGGAAGATGGGGGATGAGGGCATTGTAAACAACAAAACAAAACAAACCAACGGCTTTGAGAAGATGGCTCACTGGTCAAGGATGATATAATAGAAAATAAACGTGGGAAACAGACTCATCCACCTATTTGAATCAAATGCTTGACAAAATTTATAGCATGAAAATCAGTCAGCATTAGAGCTCATTGTATAGAGAAAAATAAAATGATATACCTAGGATCATATAAAAATTGATTCAGAATGGAAATAAAGCACAAAGAACTCAGAAGGGGTGGTGAATGAAAAACCTGCCTGTCATGTGTTAATGTTCAGATTACCGAAGCCCATATTTTCAATGTCTAAATTTATGGTGGCCTAACACCGAAGCTGTACAACAGGACCCCCTATTGCTAGGGAACACATTTTAATAACCGCAGTGCTGGAACTGTGGAGAGAGCAGAACGTAGACATTCTTTGTTGCATAATCTTATCATCTGATACATTTTGCAGTCTCGTGTATACGTTGCTATGTTGCCCGTTATTGCCAGAGCTCGTCTGTCCTTTGATGTTTCATTCTCTTAGTGGTGCCTTTGCGTCACTGTTCTTGTGCGTGGAGGCCATTATTGATCACATAAGGACTACCGCAACACTGAGAAACGACCATCATCTATTGACCGATCTGCCTCTTCAGTGACCGACAGGTGGGTTGTGCACCGTGGACGCCTGGGACAAAGTGATGATTTATGTCCTGTGCACGACATAGCAGGAGGACTTGACATTTCATCTTGTGTTTCAGAAAAAAGTACGATGTAAAAATGATTATTTCTGAAATGTTGCATGTAACGTATTTTCAAAGATGTATTTATTTATTTTTATTAGAAAGGCAGACAGACACAGGGAAAAGGAGACAGAGAAAGCTCTTCCATCGGCAAGTTCACTCCCCAAGCAGCCATATCAGCTAGAACTGAGCTGATCTGAAGCCAGGCGCTTTTTCCTGGCCTCCCACATGGGTGCAGGGTTCCAAGACTTTGGGCCGTCCTCAGCCACTTTCCCAGGCCACAAGCAGGGAGCTGGACAGGAAGTAGAGCAGCTAGAATTAGAAGCAGTGCACATACAGGATCCCGGTGCATGCAAGGCGAGGACTTTAGTCGCTAGGCTACCAGGTCGGGCCTAACAATTACACAGGAATGAGATATCACTTTGAAGTTACTAATTAATGAACATGTTTGATGTATTGGTGGGGATGTGGCTTATCAGGACTCTGACTGATCAGCGAGCACACAGTAAGTGTAGCCACAGCAGCCAGGATGCAAGACCCCAGGCAGATGCTTGAGACAAGACAGTTACCGTCCTATACATGCATATCTATGCTAATATATCATTTATAAGTTAGGTACAATAGGGCTCAGCATGGTGGCCTAGTGTCTAAGGCCCTTGCCTTGAGTACGCCGCGATCCCATATGGGCACCGGTTCTGATCCTGGCAGCCCCGTGTCCCATCCAGCTTTCTGCTTGTGGCCTGGAAAAGCAGCTGAGGATGGCCCAAAGCCTGGGGAACCTGCACCTGCGTGGGAGTCCTGGAGGAGGTTCCAGGTTCCTGGCTTTGGATGGCACAGCTCTGGCCATTGCGCTCACTTGGGGAGTGAATCATTGCATGGAAGATCTTCCTTTTTGTATATCTGACTTTGCAATAAAAATAAATAAATCTTTAAAAAAGAGTAGGTACAATATCAAATTAGTCCTAGCAAGTGATGCTAGAATGTAAGAAAATTATATATTGCAGTAAAATGATTTAGAACAAGATGATTTGTTTATGCCATTTCCTCTTCAGGGCTTTCAAACCTCAGTTGATTATACTAAAACCTTGGGATGAAGAGTCCTGGATGAGGAGAGACTACTGTAATGAATTGTACTTTCAGCATCTACTCTCTACCATATTCCCACCCATATACACATTCAACAGATAAAACAAGGCCTAGGAAATGCAATTACAGATGCATTCTAAATGCTCTGAAGGCTGGAAAAGAGAACAAGGGAAGTGTTTAGAAATGATGTTACTTTAGATTTGGGTCTCAAAGTTTCAGAGTTTGCATAAACTGGCGACAGGTGTAACCTGAGGGTAATTCTAACAGTGGAGGTTCCTAGATCCCCGTGAAAAATGACAAGACAGAAGAGGCGTAATTTGGGGGTCATTGTTGTGGCATAGTGGATAAAGTTACTGCCTGGAATACCAGCATTCCACGTTGATGTCTGTTCAACTCCCTGATCCTCCACTTCTGATCCAGATCCTGGCTAATCGCCTGGGAAAAGCAGTGGAAATGATCCAAGTGCGTGTGCTCCTGCACGCACACGGGAGACCTGGAAGAAGCTCCTGGCCCAGTCCTAGCTCATACAGTCCTCTGAGCAGCCAACCAGTAGAGTGTGGTCTATGAGATGGCCATGTTCCCTGGTGTGCGCTCACACTTCCTTCCCAGTTCTCTAGAACTGAAATGTGATTGTCAGAGTGTGCTCATAGTTTTTGATATTGAGTTGTCGGAGATTCTTAGTCAACCAAACTGAAATATTTGTTGAGCTTACTTTGGGGAGAACTGATATCGTATGACAATAAATTATCCTTTCCAAAAATATAGAATGTCTCTGATTGTTTTCCTCATTATATATTTGTAGTAAATTTAGCTTTTCTATTTTTGAACCAATGTAATTCATAAATAAGTTTCCTATGTTGTCAGTCATACCTTTAGTATATTTCTCTAGTGAGTTTTCCTAGCTGGAGAAAATGCTCTTGCTTTGGAATTTCCTCACTGTACTGTTTGCTTGTAAGCCACAGGCTGTCTGCCTGGTCAGTTATCAATGACGATTGAATGAATAAAAGAGGATGCTACATAAAGCAGAATGGTCTCCTGTGATATTTGTGTCTGTGCAGGGGCTTGCTCTTCATGCTTCCTTGGAAATTGAAAAGACACAGTTATGGACCAGAGACACTATGAACAGGGAAGTGCACTTACTTGCATCACAGTTTTGACTGCCCAGCCACAAAGGCACAGAACGTAAGAGACCAAGGAAGGCAAAAGTGAAGATGAACAGACAAGGCAAGGCCATTTGCATCAGCAGAAACATCCTTTTATTTCCCTTAGAACGCATGGAGAGTCTGTGACTCTCAAGGGAGCACTGAAGATGTTCAATCAGAGAAGGGAGTACTTAAAAAAAAAAAACAAACCCAAATCATCATTCGAGCAATTCTGCCCTTTTAGAGCTGATCCAAGAGCCACAGAGAGGCTATGGTTTATAGAATCGCATTCCTAGGTCCAGGCCATGAATTAGAGTTGCATTCTCTCAGTAACTCAGGCAAAGGATATGGACCTGTTTAGATTTTCAGCATTTATAAAAATGCTATGAATATATCAATATATTTATAAAATTCCTATCAATAAATTCAGGACAGGATGCTTGCAACAGTGGATTAATAAATAATAAAAGTTACGTTCTCTGTCCAAAAAGAGCTTTGGATGCTTAAACAGAAGTGGTGGAACAATAATCCAAGTCAAGCTCTGATAAGCTTAAAGTAGAGTAAAAATAATATTGCCATAAAAAGTCAAAAGCAAGCAAGATTAATGTGTCACAGAGCGGTGAGGGAAGGCCCAGCAAGCAGGTGATCCTTGGTGTGCCCTATGTCGAAGCCGTGGGCAAGTGTGGGAGACGCATCGCACCCCTGCCACATACGCACTGCAGAGTAGTAACAGCATTTAGAAATAGAAGGCTGAGCATGAAACCTCAAGATATCAGCAGAGGCATGTGTGGGGGTGGTGGAAGGTATTATTATCTGGAACACTCTCCTTTGCTTAGGCCCGAGTCAGCCTCTACAGGACATGGAAGGACAGAGTGTTTCCTCGTGGACTCAGCAGTGTGCATGAAGGTTTAGTCTGCAGTTACAAGTAGAGTTTGGATTTCTGGTTCCTGCACAGGAGTTTTGTACTTGCAGCAGTTGCAGCACCATCTTGTGGAAATGAAGATTTCACATCACAAGCGTTTTGGTTTTGATCATTTTTGCTGTTCTAAGGAAATGATCTTGAAACAGGTTTTTGGCTCTACATTACTCTTTGAAATGCACCAAGTGTCGGTAGCA